GCCGCCGAACTCTCCTGCCCACTGCGCCCCTCGGCACTGCACTTCAGTCATGCACCTGCTTTGCTCTCTGCTGAAGCCTCTCACCTCCCGCACCTCTGACCTACACCCCAGTTCCTATATGCAGCAATAAAATAAATGCTAATAAACTTAGTAAAAGAAGCACCACAGCAGTGGACAGAGAGACCGTCTCACTGAGAATGGGCCCTTGTACCCCTGTTCTAGGAGAACAGGAGCATTTAGATATTCCCAAGGTAGAGCTGTCAGGTAAAACACAGTGCAGGGTTTGGGACGTACTTACGGTAAAAACATATTCATTGTTTATCTGGAATTCCAATGTAAATAGGTGGCCTGTATTTTCATTCGTTAAATCTGGTACCGCTATCCCAGGCAGAACTCCATACTCCCACATCGCGGTAGCCAGCAAGGAGGAGGAGCAGGAGCCCCTGGTAAGCAGACCCAGGGTCCCGCTGGCCCGGTTGGGACTGGCCTTGGACAGGGTGCTGAGGGGCCTCCCTGGTGGCTAGGGGTTAAGTCTAAGCCTATCACCACCCCAGCCTGAGCTCAGTTCCCCCTCCCCAGCTCTGGCCCACACTCCAGCTCTTTCACACATACACTGTGTTTATATTAGAAAGGGGTAAGGAGGGAGGAGAACTGGGCACACCTTTGGTGCAAATTAAAACTAGTGAATTACCTGAGTTTCGAGAATTTCCAGAATGGACAATACAAACACATTACCCTCAAGAGGGACGTAGCTGAGGCTGCTGGCCAGGACTGTGGTCACTCAGCTATGTTCTTAGGTTCACTTTGTCGGCTGGCCCAGAAGCTTAGCACCCCATTCCCTGAACTTGGTAGGGCCAGGGCACGATGGGCCCACCTCCGAGACTTCCAGATCCTTGGGTCACGGGTCTTGGTGAGATAGGTTTCCCTCCACCCAACAGTCTTGTTAGTGTCCAGCTGGGATGAGTGGCCTTTCTCTTTCCCCATTCCGACCTCCTGTTCTCAGGGCCTACGGCTGAAGCGGTGGCCTAGCTCTGGGCCTGTCCTTACCTGCTTCCTGGGAGGGAGCTTCACACCCTTTGGCAGGCCTGAATCATTTCACAAACAGATGTGATGTTCTTCAAGAAAGCCCAAAGCCCATTCTTCCTGCCGTGCAGCTCAGAACCCAGGGTTGTGGAGGCTGATGACGTAGGGAAATGGCTTGGCTTACTGTGGGTGCTCATTAAGAGGGGGCTTCAACAGAGGTGGTCTGCTCTTCACTCCTGTCCTACTGGCTGTTAGATTTGCTCTGGCGGGAAACCCTCTCCTTCACAGGCAGCACAGCACGACAGCACCTTGTGCCTGGAGAGGTGAGCAAGACAGGGTGGGGGCAGATTATATGGCGGCTATGAGTGCGGGTGTCCCACCCAGTGACTTTTCCAGTTTTCTTTTCCGTCGAGATGGATGTGTTCTGTCGCCAAGGCTAATCCTCCACAGAATAAACAGAACAGTGATATGTTTCTATTTTCCATGGTTAATTTCCTGCTTGATAGCAAATAGCAACTCTGACTCTGAAATCAGACAGACTCGGGATCAAATCTGGCCTCTAACAATTGTCAACTGCGTGATCCTAAACATGTGGCTGAACCTCTCCAAGCCTCAGCTTTTGCATTTATAAAGTTGTGATAACAGGGTCTTCCCTGGTGCTGCAGTGGGACAAAGCACAGCACTGCAAGTGCTCTGTAGTGTTTTCAGTGTGAGTTCAATCCGCACAGGGCGCGGCAGACCTCCCCTGACCGCCCGCTGCTCCCCTCAGCAGGGTACTTCATTGATCTGCCTGTTCTGCTCCCCGCTCTGTCTCTGGTGAAGCCTCTCACTGCCCCCCCACCTCTGGCCAGCAGCCTAGTTCTGTATGCACAAATAAATAAACCTTTTTAAAAAGTTAAAAAAAATTGTGATAATAAAAGGAGCTATCTCATAGGGTGGTTGTGAAGATCAATGGAGATCAATGTAAGACATAGGCACAAAGATAGCACTCTACAAGTCACGTATTGTAATTACTTCCTTCTCTCTCTCTCTCTTTAAGATTTACCTTATTTGGGCTCTCATAGTGGTGCAACTGGTTAAAGTGCAGCACTGTGAAGCAATCAGCAGCCACTGTAGCACGAGTGCAGTCTCTAAGCTGGAGCTGACCCACAGGGCGCGGCAGACCTCTCCCATCTCGCCCGCTGCTCCCCTCCGCAGTGTATTTCAGCCAATCCACCTAATCTGTTCCCCACTCTGTCTCTGATGAATCTGCTCACCTCCCACCCCTCTGACTTGTACCCCAGTCCTTGTATGCTTAAATAAATGAAGCTTTTAAAAAAGGTTAACCTTATTTATTTATTTATACATAAAAGAATTGGGGTGTCAGCCAGAGGTGTGGGGGGGAGGAGTGAAAGCATTTACCAGAGACAGAGTTGGTTGGGAGCAGAACAAACAGATGTATTGAAATACTCTGCTGAGGAAAGCAGCAAGCGAAACAGGAGAGGTCTGTAGCACCATGTGGTGCTCTCTGAGCATAGAAGTCTTGCTGCAGTGGCTGGCAATGGCTTCACAGTGCTGAGACTGTAACCCTTGCACCACCAGGGAGGCCCTACTTCCTTCTCTTAGTGCTGCAGAAATCACCTCCTGATATCTGAGTACACCATGAAGGAAGGAATTTTTCCCAAGTCCGATATGTCCCCTGGCAGGAGTAACAGCTCGGAACCTCCCACTGCACAACATAAAAGTCAAAAGTACCAAGTAAGTGCGCGACTAAACAATGATCAAGACAGAGAAACACAAACTGGGGCTGAGAGTGTGGGAGAAGCAGGGCTGCCCCCTTGGTTTGACGAACACTGTATGGTGTGATTCTCTGCGTCGTTTTCCTCAGAGAGCCCTGGGCGTTCCACAACAGCACTTTCAAATCTGGCCACCAGGTGGCACGTGGCTGCTACGTGGCCTGGGCCACTTTCCGCATTAGAGGATGGAAAGAATTTAAAATTTATTTTTAAGAAAACATAGCAAATATGAATTTTCATAAGCCATACTAATAATTGTTACAAATGTATTGATATAATTTACATACCATAAAATTCACTCATTTTGATGTAAAAATAAACTATTATATAAAAAAATGAACAAGCATGTTATGGCATAGCAAAACACAACAAAAATTATGGTAGTAGAATAGAGTGAACAATAAAAAAATCATTCATTTTAAGTGCACAATTCAGTGATTTTTATTTCCGCGCTTTTTTCTTTCTTATTCCTGAAACACTGGTTTATAACACTCCTATGACTCAGAGGTATAGGATCGCACCTCCTCAGATGTATTTTACCATGGCACACCCTCAGTGATTACACTGTACCAAGTTGTTCAATCATGACAATAATCCAATTTTAGGGCATTTCCATTATCCTACTAATATCCCTTGATAGTATAAGCTATACTTTTTCTTGCGAAAAATTACGAAAGTCCCCAA